TAAATTTAAATCAAGGCTAGGGCGAGGTAGGCTAATCTGGACACCATTGCAGCAGCTAGATTTATTCGATGTGACTTCTTCAGCTCTCAGATAATTTTTCTAGCACAAAAGCATTGGCACTGTGAGCATGACTGAGAGTATTTTAGCTGAAAATTTCAGAATCAGGATAACTATTGGGTCGCTTCAGTCGAACTTGTAAGAGCTGTCACATGATCGATCTGTATTTTATATAATCCGTTTTAGCTATTTCCGTGTATGATGCTATATATATATATATATATATTCGAGTAAAAAAACATTCGAGCACGCCTCGGAAGCATGAGATAAACTTGTATAAGCACGCACCACAAACTATTAAAACTATAACGTGCTTAGATTTAGTCCATTTTATCAGTAGGCATTGACAAACAAGAAAAATTCAGGCAACATTTTTGAAAAAGTTAATAGGCTCTACTTTCCGCATTACCAATAGCATGAATGCTGAAGGGCATCTGTATACAGAAAAAAGTGGAAAATTTTCTAAATGCATAGTATTAAATGCCGTGTGTTATTTGAAACAAGAGCTAAATTTAAATGCATCGCTAAACAGAATGTATAATAAGAGACCACCTCAATCCAAACCCATGCTCCACTTTATGAAGGGACCATGGACAAAAATATGGGCAAGACAGACTAATTAAAATGAGGCAACATACAGCAGGTTGTCGAGGTCGTATAATCTGCGACAGGCTAGCGCCTCCAGGTTGGCCAGTTATTGGAAGGCTTATGAGCCCATTTCCATTGATGCCAATACCAGTGACACCAGAACCACCACTAGTGCACGGCTCAACATGAAGAGAAGAGCTGCTACAAGATATCCGACCAGAAGTACCGCTGCTCGCAAACAGCTAAAATAATGTTAGGCCAGAGAGTGTTTATAAATATATCTTAAAACGAGGCTAAAAAAGCTATATTAATTCTCCATTATATATGGAAATATCAGCTGTAAAAGAAAGTATAAAGTAATAGGAATGCACATGCCATCATATTCACAGATTAATTAAAAAATGCGAACCAGTAAACAAGGGTATATTCTGTAGATGAAAGTTGCTTACTGATTGTTGCTGGTGAGGTGTGGTAAAAATAGTAGAAACGCCTGACGACGAAGAAGAGGAAGTTAAGGCGGCATTAGAGCTTATTGCAGGCGAGAGACGATGGCAAGCTAAAGCTACTGTAAATGCACCTGCATTACCAGCTCCTCCGGCGCTGCTGTTACCTGCAGTAGAACTGATGGCGGTCGTAGTGGCGGTGGGCCCTGAGCTGGTCGTTCCAGGGCCAGAACTCGAACTTAAACATGGAGATGAAGTGGCTAAAATATTGGAGGAAGTGGGAGTAGAAACAGATGAAGAGCTGGCGGAGGGACAAAGAGACACAAGTCCTGCAGAACCGGCCCCAGCAATGCTAGCTCCGCGACGGAGGACTGTTGCAGTTTGGCCAATGGAGGACTAAATCGAAGAAAAAAAGATTTAATAGTATTTTATCAACAGAGGTCTAAAACTCACTTTTACAGTATAGGCAAATAAGATAATGATATGAAGGATTTAAGCTTAATATAGAAGCTAAATATTCCTTTTATGTATTCAAAGCATTTTTTGAAACCCAACGTAATGTCAGCCCAATAGCTCCCATTGCCGCTGCGTCTATCCAGTTTTTATCTCTAATACCAAGTCTATGACGTCTCATGCCCTAGTCTCTTGTGCGACAACCCACAAACGTTGTGGTTTAACATTGAACCTATCAAAGCAAGCAGTACCACAACATTTGTGGGTTGTCACACAAGGAACTAGGGCAAGGGAAATCATATACTTGGTATTATAAATAGAAACAGGAAAGACGTGGCGGCGATAGGAGCTAGTGGGCTGACAGTGGGTTTTATAAAAGACGTGGTCCATGTGGTAAAGACATGACTATGAGACTTACTCAGAGGCTTTAGCCTCGAATTGAACCAGGGAGAGGGCAGATAGATCTTACGGGGCAAAAGAGAGACTGTGGTAAGACCTAGGGAAGGAAGACTGCGTAACAATATGGTAGACTCTAATCAACATTCCCAGCACAAGGATGAAGAGAGATGAGAAGGCCAATGTGTAGTGCGGAGGGTTATCATGAAAGCCGCTCAAAAGAGCACATCGTACCACATTTAATTAAACAAGTAAAAATTGTGACAGTGAAGGCATGAAAA